GGGGGGGGGGGGGGGTGGCTCGACAATTGGCGGCGGATCGCGGATGATGCCGCGCAGACGTGAGCCAGCCCACCCGAACACCGAACGACGCCCGGACCGAGCCGGGGCTCCGGCCCCGGCACCTGCTGTCCGTGGACCCGCTCACGAGGCGGGACCTGGAGCGTCTTGTCGAGACCGCCCTCGAGCTGAAGGCGACCGACGAGCCCCGGGGCGACCTTTCCGGCCTCACGCTCGCGAACTTGTTCTTCGAGGCGTCCACGCGGACGCGAGCCTCCTTCGAGCAGGCGGCGAGGCGGCTCGGGGCGGACGTGCTGAACCTGGACATGGGCGCTTCGAGCGTGGTCAAGGGTGAGTCCCTCGTGGACACGCTCCACACCATCGAGAGCGTCGGCGCCCGGTTCGTGGCGATGCGCCACGCCGCCTCCGGCGTGCACGAGTACGTGGCCCCCCGCCTCACCTCGGCGTCGCTCCTCAACGCGGGCGACGGCCGCCACCAGCACCCCACGCAGGCCCTGCTCGACTGCGTCACGCTCCACGAGAAGCTCGGCTCGATCGAGGGCAAGACGATCGCGATTGTCGGCGACATCCTGCACTCGCGCGTCGCCCGCTCGAACATCGCGGCCTTCACCAAACTCGGTGCCCGCGTCCGGCTCGTCGGGCCGCGGACGATGCTGCCGCAGACGATCGTGGACGCCTTCGGCGTGGACGCGACGCACGATCTGGCGGAGGGGATTGCGAACGCGGACGTGGTGTACCTGCTCCGAATCCAGCTGGAGCGTCAGGCGCGGGCGATCTACGGCTCGGGCGGGGAGTACCACCGGCACTACGGGCTCTCCACGAAGCGACTCGACGTATTGAACCCGGGGGCGATCGTCATGCACCCCGGCCCGGTGAACCCGGGGGTGGAGATGACGGCGGAACTCATGGGGAGCGCGCGGTCGCTCATCCGGGCGCAGGTGACCAACGGCGTCTTCGCCCGCATGGCGGCGATGCTCTGGCTCTGCGGGAAGGGGGCGTCGTGAGGGACGGGACGATCGTGATCCGGGGCGGGCACGTGGTGGATCCGTCGATCGGCGTCGACGGCGTGCGCGACATCACCATCTTCGAGGGCAAGGTCTCGGATATCGATTCGACGAGCAGCGTCCCCCACGGGGTCGAGGTCATCGACGCGAGCGGGAACCACGTCTTCCCCGCGTTCGTCGAGATCCACGCCCACCTCCGCGAGCCGGGGGGCGAAGCGAGCGAGACGATCGCGACGGGCCTGCGCGCGGCCGCGAAGGGCGGGTACGCCCACGTCTTCTCCATGCCGAACACGACGCCGGTGACGGATTCGGCCGTTCTGGTGCGGTACCAGGTGGACCGGGCGCGGGAGGCCTCGCCCGTGAGCCTGCACCCGGTCGGCTCGGTGACCACGGGGATGAACGGCGAGCGGCTGACGGACTTCGCGGCGCTCCGCGAGGCCGGGGCGGGGGCGCTGTCCGACGACGGCCTGCCCGTGGCGAACGCGGGCGTGATGCGCTCGGCGCTCTCCTGCGCGGCCGATCTGGGGATGGTGATCCTGGACCACTGCGAGGACATGTCCCTCACGGGGGACGGCGTGATGCACGACGGCCCCACCGCGGCCCGCCTGGGCCTGCCCGGCATCCCGCGGTCGAGCGAGGCGACGATCGTCGCCCGCGACGCGGCCCTCGCGCTGGAAACGGGCGGGCGGCTGCACGTCTGCCACGTCTCGACGGTCGACTCGGTCGAGGCGATCCGCTTTTTCAAATCGCGCGGGGCGCCGATCACGGCCGAGGTGTCGCCGCACCACCTGCTCTTCACCGAGGAGCGTGTGGGCCGGTTCGACACGCACGCGAAGATGAAGCCGCCGCTGTGCGAGGAGCGGGACCGTCGGGCGCTGATCGAGGCGCTGGAGGACGGGACGATCGACTGCATCGCGACGGACCACGCCCCCCACTCCCCCGCGAGCAAGGCGCAGCCCTTCGCGCAGGCGCCCTTCGGCATCGTCGGGATGGAGACGGCGTTCGTGAGCCTGTACTCCGCGTTCGTCGCGAGCGGGGCGTGGACGCTGCCGTTCCTGATCGAGAAGATGACGACCGCGCCGGCGAAGTGCGTGTCCCGGAATTGGGGGACGCTCGCGGACGGCGCGTCGGGCGACCTCGTGATCGCGTCGCTCGGCGATTCGCGCACGTTCTCGGACGCCGATCTCGGCTCGAAGAGCGTGAACTGCCCCTGGCTCGGCGAGACGTTCTGCGCGAAGATCGAACGGCTCGTGATCGCCGGGCGCACGGTGACGGTCTAGAATCGGCCCGGCCGACAAAAAGTGCCGCCGGGACGTGCTTTTGCGCACGAACCCTCAACACGATCCACACAAAGGAAAACGGGCGTGATATGATCCCGCCCGGAGGCTGGTTCGACCTCCCAAGGACTCCGATCAATGATGGTTCAGACCCACCAGCAGGCGATCCGAGCGGTGATCCGGCCCGAAACGGCGGACACGCCTCCCGTCGCGTTGCCGCGTGAATCTGAGCCCCGCCCGTCCGGCGGGGTTTTTTGTATCCGGGGCGGACGGGTGCGAGTTCGTGAGGGCTCCGACGTATGACGCTCGCGACGAAGCGGCTGATCGAGGCGATGTCGAGGACGGACAGCGTGCTGTCGGTCGGGCTCGAGCCCGCGCCGGCGTACCTGCCGACGGGCTTCCCCTCGACGATCGACGGGTACGAGGCGTTCCTGACGCTCATCATCGACGCGACGAAGGACATCGTGCCGGCGTACAAATTCAACCTCGCGTTCTTCGAGGCGCTGGGCTCGTCCGGGATGGACCTGCTCCACCGCGTGCGGATGAGCATCCCCGAGGACGTGTTCGTGATCGCGGACGCGAAGCGGGGCGACATCGGCTCGACGGCCGAGCACTACGCGCGGGCGATCTTCGACTACCTCAACGCGGACGCGGTGACGCTCAACCCGCTCATGGGCCTGGACTCGGCGATGCCGTTCCTGGTCTACGAGAACAAGCTGAACTACATCCTCTGCCTCACGTCCAACCCCGGGTCGCGGGACTTCCTGGTCCCGAACGACCTGTATCTGCGCATCGCGCGGGCGGCGAGCGGGGACTGGAACATGTACGGCAACACGGCGCTCGTCGTCGGGGCGACGAACGAGGGGCGCATCGCGCAGATCCGCGACGCGGCCCCGCGGGCCCAGTTCCTGATGCCGGGCGTCGGCGCCCAGGGCGGCGATTTGAAGCGGGCGGCGCGCGAGGCCCGCATCACCGAGACCGACACCGAGGGCCCGGGCTTCCTGCTCCACGTGACGCGCGGGGTCCTGCCGAGCGATACGGACACGGACGACCCGATGAACGTCATCCGCGCGAAAGTGCTCGAGCTCCAGAAGAAAGCGAACGAGGCGCTGCACCATGCCGGCACGGCCTGAGCGAACACCGACGGACCCGTCGCTCATTCGAGAGATCGACGAGTCGTTGCGTTCCTGCGGCGCGCTGAAGTCCGGCCATTTCCTGCTCAGCTCGGGGCTGCACTCCGATTCTTACTGCCAGTGCGCGGCGCTGTTCGAGCGGCCGCGCGTCGCGTCGAGGCTCGCGGAGATCATGGCGGGGATGCTCGGGGGCGAGACCGAAGCGGACACCGTCCTCGCGCCGGCGCTGGGCGGGGTGCTGTGGGGCTACCAGCTCGCGCAGGCGATGGGCCTGCGGACGATCTTCGCGGAGCGCAAGACGGGCGAGCCCTTCGAGCTGCGGCGCGGGTTCACCCTCGCCCCGGGCGAGCGCGTGCTCCTCGCGGAGGACGTGATCACCACCGGCAAGTCGGTCAGCGAGATGGTCCCGCTCGTCGAGGCGGCGGGCGCCGAGGTCGTCGGCTACGCGACGGTCGCGGACCGGAGCAAGGGGGCGTTCGCCCCCGGGCCGCCGGTGTTCGCGCTCGTCGAACTCGACTTCGCGACGTACGAGGCGGATGATGTGCCCGAGTCGCTCGCGGCCATCCCCATCGAGAAGCCCGGGAGCCGGGCCCTGAGCACGGAAACACCATGACACGGACGGAAGCGAGCACGGACGCGATGTCGATGATCGAAGCCAAGCCGGGCGACACCCGCGCCACGGGCGTGCGCGCGGTGCTGGAACTCGAGGACGGGACGACGTACGAGGGCGTGAGCTTCGGCGCGGACGCGCCGTGCTCCGCCGAGATCGTCTTCAACACGGGCATGGTCGGGTACCCCGAGATGCTGACCGACCCGTCGTACACCGGCGAGATCATCGTGAGCACGTACCCGATGGTCGGGAACTACGGCGTGCCCGCGATGGGCGAGGGGGCGCACGGCGTGCTCTCGCGGTTCGAGTCCGGGCGGATCCACGCCGCGGGGCTCGTCGTGGCGCACTACTGCGACGAGCCGTCGCACTGGAACACGGAGCGGACGCTCGGGCAGTGGCTCCGCGACGAGGGGATCCCGGGGATCACCGGCATCGACACGCGGGCGCTGACCAAGCGGCTCCGCGAGAAGGGCGCGATGCTCGGCGTGATGCGCTTCGAGGGGCGCGACGACGTCGAGATGACCAACCCCTTCACGAACGACCTCGTCTCGCGCGTCACCATCGACGAGCCGAAGCTCTACGGGAAGGGCGAGAAGCGGATCGCGCTGATCGACTGCGGCGCGAAGCTCAACATCCTGCGGTCCCTGCTCTCGCGGGACGTCGAGGTCCTCCGCGTCCCGGCGGACTACGACCTGGCGGAGGAGACGATCGACGGCGTCGTGATCTCCAACGGCCCGGGCGACCCGGAGATGGTCGAGGGCGCCGTGCCGGTGATCCGGAAGCTCATCGACAAGCAGACGCCCATCTTCGGCATCTGCATGGGGCACCAGCTCCTCGCGCGGGCGATCGGGATGAGCACGTACAAGCTCAAGTACGGCCACCGCGGGCAGAACCAGCCCGTGAACGAGTGCGGCACGAACCGCTGCCTTGTCACCAGCCAGAACCACGGCTTCGCGGTGGACGACAACGACCTGCCGCAGGACTGGCGGGCGTGGTTCCGCAACCTGAACGATCACACGAACGAGGGGCTGCGCCACAACTGGGCGCCGTTCCGCAGCGTGCAGTTCCACCCCGAGGCGACGCCCGGCCCGGTGGACGCGGACGATCTGTTTGACGAATTCCTGAGGATGGTCGTTCGATGATTCTGAAACCGCGGAAGGTGCTCATCCTGGGGTCGTCGGCGCTGAAGATCGGCGAGGCGGGCGAGTTCGATTACTCGGGCTCCCAGGCGATCAAGGCGCTGAAGGAAGAGGGGATCAAGACGGTCCTCATCAACCCGAACATCGCGACGATCCAGACGTCCGAGACGCTGGCGGACGAGGTGTACTTCCTGCCGATCACGCCGGAATTCGTCGAGAAGATCATCAAGAAGGAGAAGCCGGACGGCCTGCTCCTGAGCTTCGGCGGGCAGACGGCGCTGAACTGCGGGCTCAAGCTCGACGAGATGGGCGTGCTCGCGAAGCACAAGGTCGCGGTGCTCGGGACACAGATCAAGACGATCCGCGACACGGAAGACCGCGAGCTGTTCCGCAACCGCCTCGACGAGATCGGCTGCAAGTCGCCCGTCTCCAAGGCGGTGGGCACGGTGGACGGCGCGCTCGCGTTCGCGGAGGAGCTGGGCTACCCGGTGATGTGCCGCATCGCGTTCGCGCTGGGCGGGCTGGGCTCGGGCGTCTGCAAGGACGAAGCGGAGCTCCGCGATCTGGCGGGCCGGGCGCTGTCGTACACGAACCAGATCCTCATCGAGGAGTGCCTCACGGGGTGGAAGGAAATCGAGTACGAGGTCGTCCGCGACAAGTACGACAACTGCATCACCGTGTGCAACATGGAGAACCTCGACCCGCTTGGCGTGCACACCGGCGAGTCGATCGTCGTCGCGCCGTCGCAGACGCTCACCAACTCCGAGTACCACAAGCTCCGCGAGATCGCGGTGCAGGTGATCCGGCACTTGGGGATCGTCGGCGAGTGCAACATCCAGTACGCGCTGGACCCGGTCTCCGAGGACTACCGCATCATCGAGGTGAACGCCCGCCTCTCGCGTTCCTCCGCCCTCGCGTCCAAGGCGACGGGCTACCCGCTCGCGTTCGTCGCGGCCAAGCTCTCGCTCGGGCACGGGCTCCACCAGCTCCCGAACTCGATCACGAAGGTCACCAGCGCGTTCTTCGAGCCGGCGCTGGACTACTGCGTGGTGAAGATCCCGCGGTGGGACCTCAAGAAGTTCCGGCGCGTCAAGGCGCGCCTGGGCAGCGCGATGAAGTCCGTCGGCGAGGTGATGTCCATCGGGCGGACCTTCGAGGAGGCGATCCAGAAGGCGTTGCGCATGCTCGATACGGGCGCCCGCGGGCTCGTCGCGAACGACGGCTTCGAGTTCGACGACCTGGACAAGTCCATCAGCGTCCCGACCGAGAACCGCCTCTTCGCGATCGTCCGCGCGTTCCGCACCGGCTACACCGTCGAGCGGATCCACGAGCTGTCGCGCATCGACCCGTGGTTCCTCTCCAAGATCAAGCGCGTCGTCGACCACGCCCGCCAGCTCGAGAAGGCGTCCAAGCCGCTCAGCGCCGAGCTGCTCACCGAGGCGAAGAAGCTCGGCTTCGTGGACAAGCAGATCGCCATCCTGACCGACCAGGACGAGCAGGCGGTCTACCTCCAGCGCGAGTCGCTCGGGCTCCACCCGTACGTCAAGCAGATCGACACCCTCGCCGGCGAGTTCCCCGCCCAGACGAACTACCTCTACCTCACCTACAACGGCGTCGAGGACGACGTGGAGTTCCCCCTCGAGAACGCCGTCGTGCTGCTCGGCTCGGGCGTGTACCGCATCGGGTGCTCCGTCGAGTTCGACTGGTGCTGCGTGAACGCGGGGCAGACCCTGCGCGAGCTGGGCTACCAGACGGTGATGGTGAACTACAACCCCGAGACCGTCAGCACCGACTACGACGAGTTCGACCAGCTCTTCTTCGACGAGATCAGCTTCGAGACCGTCCGCGAGATCGCGCGGAAGGTCCAGCCCAAGGGCGTGTTCATCAGCGCGGGCGGGCAGATCGCGAACAACATCGCGATGAAGCTGCACAAGGCGGGGATCAACATCCTGGGCACGTCGCCCGAATCCATCGACAACGCCGAGAACCGCAACGCCTTCTCCGCGCTGCTCGACGAGCTGGGCGTGGACCAGCCGGCGTGGAGCGAGCTCTCGACCATCGACGAAGCCCAGGGCTTCGCGAACCAGGTCGGCTACCCGGTGCTCATCCGGCCGTCGTACGTCCTCTCCGGCGCGGCGATGGCGGTGGCCTCCAACGACGAGCAGCTCTCCGGCTACCTCAAGGCCGCGGCGAAGGTCTCGCCGGAGCACCCGATCGTCATCAGCAAGTACCTCGCGAACGCGAAGGAGATCGAGTTCGACGCGGTCGCCAAGGACGGGCAGATCATCGTCTACGCGATCTCCGAGCACGTCGAGAACGCTGGCGTGCACTCGGGCGACGCGACGCTCGTCTTCCCGCCCCAGCGGACCTACCTCGAGACGATCCGCCGCATCCGCAAGATCTCCAAGCGGATCGCCGAGCGGCTTCGCATCAACGGGCCGTTCAACATCCAGTACATCGCGAAGGACAACGCGGTGATGGTGATCGAGTGCAACCTCCGCGCGTCGCGCTCGTTCCCCTTCGTCTCGAAGATCCTGAAGCAGAACTTCATCGACATCGCGACGCGCGTGACGATGGGCGAGGACGCGCCGGTCATCGACAAGAGCGTCTTCGAGCTCAACCACGTCGGCGTCAAGGCCCCGCAGTTCTCTTTCACCCGCCTCGAGGGCGCCGACCCCACGCTCGGCGTCGAGATGGCTTCCACGGGCGAGGTCGGGTGCATCGGCAACGACTTCGACGAGGCCTTTCTCAAGGCGCTCATCTCCGTCGGCTTCAAGGTGCCGGTCAAGACCGTCCTGCTCTCGGTGGGCAACATCAAGGACAAGGCGGAGATGCTCACGCCCATCAAGCTCATCGAGAAGCTGGGCGTGAAGCTCTACGCGACGGAGGGCACGGCCGTCTTCCTCGCCGAGCACGGCGTGGCGGTCACACCGGTGAACTGGCCCATGGACGGCGAGGCCCCCACCGCCGTCGACCACCTCAAGGCGGGCGAGATCGACCTGGTCATCAACATCCCCAGGTCCGACAAGCAGGACGAGCTGACCAACGGCTACATGATCCGGCGTGCCGCGGCGGACTACGACGTCCCGCTCATCACGAACCGGCAGATCGCGGCGCGTCTCTGCGAAGCGCTGAGCCGGACGGACGTCTCGGAACTCGAGATCAAGCCCTGGTCCGCGTACGAGACGACCACGCTCTGACACCGAGGGAGCTGCGACGATGCGTATCGCGATGATCACGGACGTGTTCTTCGGCGACGGGGCCGGCGATCGGCTCGCCGAGTGCATGGGCCTCGCGAAAGCGGGCGGCGCGGACCTCGCGGTGCTGCCGGAGATCCCCGTGAACGCTTGGGCCCCCGCGACGAAGATCCCGCGCGACGAGGACGCGGAGTCGATGGGCGGCGAGCGCATCGCGATGATGCGAGACGCCGCGCAGGCATCGGGCGTCGGTCTCGTCGGCGGAGCGATCGTGATCGACGCCGACGACGGGAAGCGCTACAACACCGCGCTCGTGTTCAACAAGGCGGGCACGCTCGTCGGCACGCACCGCAAGCAGCACCTGCCGGAGGAACCGGACTACTGGGAGACGAGCCACTACGAGCCCTGCGAGCGCGCGATCGGCGTCATCGAGGTCGACGGCGTGACGGTGGGCGTGCAGGTGTGCTCGGACATCAACCGCCCGATGGGCTCGCACGCGCAGGCGGCGCTCGGCGCGCGGGTCATCATCAACCCGCGGGCGACGGAGCTGGCGAGCTACGAGAAGTGGCGTCACGTTTTCCTCGCGACCGCGTGGACGAGCCGCGCCTTCCTCGTCTCGGTGAACCGACCCGCGAGCGAGAACGTCGCGGGATTCGGCGGCGCATCGATCGCGGTCGCGCCGACGCAGGAGGTCCTCGCGGAGACGACGGACCGCGTGTCCATCGTCGAACTCAACCTGAACCTGCTGGACACGTGCCGCTCGCGCTACCCCGGCTACCTGCCCGTGCGGAGCGACCTGTACGCCGAGGCGTGGGGGCGGGCGGAGGTGGTCGAGGGCGGGTGCGTGCCGGGGTGACGGCGTTTTGGCACGGGCGGCACCGAAAAACACCGCGAAAACCGTTTCATTTTTGAAATTGATCCGTACGATGGCGACCTCTTCGCATAAGGAGCCATCGGATGTCGCACATGTTCCGTGTCCTGCTCGTTTCACTGCTCGCGTCGACCGTGCTCGCGGGCGATCTGGACGATTCGTTCTCCGTCATGCACTTCAAGGAGAGCCGGCCGCTCGAGCTGAAACGCAACCGCCTCGCGGTCATCGGGGACGTCGCCGCCATCGATGCCATCGTCATCGCGATGGCCGACCGGATCCAACACGCCGAGGCGACGGCCGTCCGCGGCGTCACCCGGCTCACGCTCCGCGAGCCGATGGAGGATCTCCGCGCCGAGCTGGAGCGCGTGTCCGGACTGGCCGCGAACGGCGCGCTGGTCTCGCCGGTCTTCGTCGACGACCTCGGCGGCGACCTGATCCCCACGCGAACGATCCTCGCCGGGTTCGATGAGGGTGTCGGCGACGCCGCCGCGCGGGCGATGCTCGTGGAGATGTTCCCGGGGGCGAGCGTTTCCAAGCCCTGGGTGTCTTTCCGAACGATGTACCGGATCGACACGGTCTTCAAGACGGGCCTCGAGGTCCTCGAGGGGGCCAACCGGCTCGCGCTGGTCGACGGCGTGGCCTTCGCGGAGCCGGACATGATGTTCTCCGGCTCGGGCATGCACACGCCGAACGATCCTGACTACTTCCTCTGCTGGGGCCACGAGAACGTCGGGCAGTTCGGCGGCTTCGCCGGCGAGGACATGAACACCAACGAGGCGTGGGACATCACGATCGGGAGCCCGGATATCCGCGTCGCGGTCTTCGACACCGGCGTCGACCTCGGGCACCCGGACCTGACGCTCTACCACACCGGCTTCGACACGACCTCTGACAACGGCGACGGCAACCCCCTCAACCCCTTCGACAACCACGGCACGCCCGTGGCGGGGTGCGTCTCGGCGACGATCGACAACGCCCTGGGGACCGTCGGCGTAGCGCCCGGGTGCGAGGTCATCAGCGTGCGCCCCTTCATCGGCATCAACTCCAGCGGGAACTGGAGCTCGTGCAACTCCTGGTCGGTCGCGGCGCTGCAGATCGCGCTGAACGAGGGCGCCCTCGTGACCAACAATTCGAACCGCTACGGGTTCCCCTCCTCCGCGATCACCAACGCGTACGGCTTCACGCGGAACCTCGGCATCGTTCACTTCGCCTCGGCCGGCAACGAGAGCGCGGGCTCGGCGACCTACCCCGCGTCGGCCGCGTTCGTGAACGCGGTGGCGGCGCTGGACCAGTCGGGCTTCCCGACGGACTTCACGAATTCGGATCTGAACATGGCGTTCTCGGCGCCTGGAATCGATGTCTACACGACCGACCGGAGCGGGTCGGCCGGGTGGTCGTCGGGCGATTACACGTTCGCGTACGGCACCTCATTCGCCTCGCCCTACGTCGCGGGCGTGGCGGCGCTGGTGCGTTCGGTCGATCCCTCGCTCACGCCCGCGGAGGTCGAGGGCATCCTGCAGGCGACCGCCCGCGACTACGGGCTCCCGGGGCAGGACCGCGATTACGGCCACGGCTTCATCGACGCGGGGGCCGCGGTGCGCGAGGTCTTCGAGTGCCCGGGCGACTGCGCGACGGACGGCGAGGTCGATTTCAACGACCTGGTCTGCATCCTGTTCCGGTTCGGGCAGCAAGGCCAGAGCGGCCGGACCGACTGCGACGGTTCCGGCTCGGTGGACTTCAACGACCTGATCTGCGCGCTCTTCGCGTTCGGGCCGTGCTTCTGAGGCTCAGTCCGCCTGCAGCGACCCCGGCCCCTTGCCGGCGGTCTTCTCGTACGAGCCGTCGCCGGTCTTGACGTACTTCGTGAAGCCCATGCGGTCGAGGTTGTTGTCCGAGAGCATGTTCTTCTCGCGCGCCGACGAGTGCTTGCCGCCGATCATGGGCGGCTGGATGACGCGCTCGACGGGGTCCCCGGACTCGGGGTGCTCCGAGAGCGCGTCCTCGCTCATGGGCTGGACGACCTCGAACATCTCGCCCTCGCGGGGGCCTGACGTGACTCGGTAGACGTAGACGGGCATGCGGTGATTTTAGCCGGGCTTCCGCTTAATGATGACGGCGGTCATGTCGTCGCCCGCGGGCCGGCCCCTGGCGTGCTCCTCGACGAGGTGCCGGAGCGCATCGATGATCTGCTGCGACGAGCCGTGCATCGCGTTGCGCACCGCCTCGACGATGGGCTCGAGGCCCAGGAGCTCGTCGTCCGGGTTCATCGCCTCGTAGTAGCCGTCCGAGAGCACCACGAAAACGTCCCCCGGGTGCATCTCGACCGTGGACGAGCCCTCGATGAGGAAATCGGTGTCGATGCCCATGGGCATCGCGGCGGGGAGCGTGTCGACGATGTCCTCGTGCTCCGCGGGGTTCGCGCGGATGAACAGCAGGGGCGCCTGCCCGGCGGAGATGTAGCGGATCTCGTGCTTGCGCGTGTCGAGCTCGCCGATGAAGGCGGTCACGAACCGCCCGAGCGGCAAATCGGCGCAGACCTGGCGGTTGACCTCCTCCGCGAGCGTGCGGAGGGGTGCGCCGAGGCGGCAGGACATGCGGATCATCGCCAGCACCTGCGTGACCGAGATCGCCGGCCCGATGCCGTGGCCGGTGGCGTCGGCCATGAAGATCAGCGCGTCGCCCTCGGCCGCGGGGGCCTTGTGGGAGAAGGGGCGGATATCGATCACGTCGTAGGCGTCGCCGCCGGTCTCGTCGGCGGGCTCGGAGATGCCGGCGATGTCGTACCCGTCCATCCGCGGCAGCGCGCTGGGCAGGGCGGACATCTGGATGCGTTTCGCGACGGCGAGGTCCGCTTCCATCTTTTCTTTGCGGCGCTCGGCGTCGAGCAGGGCGGCGCGTTTGAGCGCGACGGCGGCCTGGTCGGCGAGGTACTGGGCGAGGGTCTCGTCGTCTTCCGTGAAGACACCGCCGTGGCTCTCGAGCTTGTTGAGCACCTGGGCGACGCCGACGAGCGAGCCGTTGTGATCGACGAGCGGGAGCGTGAGGATGCAGCGGGTGCGGAAGCCGGTGGCCTTGTCGACGGCGGGGTTGAAGCGCGTGTCGTCGTAGGCGCTGGTGATGTTGATCGTTTTGCGCGAGCGGGCGGCCTCGCCGATGATGCCCAGGTCCGCCGGGAGGCGGAGGTCCGCGGGCAGGCCGTGGGCCTTGGTGGCGAAGAGCTCGTGGGTCTCGGAGTCGTACTGGAAGACGGAGGCACGCTCGGCGCAGAGGGTGTCCCGGAGCGCGTCGATGATGAGCCCGAGGACCTCGGCGAGGTCGCTCGAGGACGCGAGGCGACGCGCGACCCTCAGGATCTGTTCGAAGGATCCGCGATCGATCCCTTCGTCTCCGGCGCTTTCAAGCACGCGCGACATCCTCGTCCTGCCTTTGGAACCCTCCACGCCCCACTATCGCGGGGGGCGGGCCGATTGTCCAGCGCGAGCACGGGAATCGCCCGGACACGCGTCTCACGCTTCGGCCCGAGCGGGCTCGGAGAACAGCGCCTCGACGAACAGCTCGGGATTGAACGGCTCGACGTCCTCGGGCGTCTCCCCCAGACCGATAAATTTCACCGGCACGCCCACCGCCTCGTTGATGGCGATGACCACGCCGCCCTTGGCCGTGCCGTCCAGCTTGGCGAGGAAGATGCCCGAGACGTCGATCGCCTGCGTGAACTCCTCAGCCTGGCGGACCGCGTTCTGCCCCGTTGTGGCGTCCAGCACGAGGATGACCTCGTGCGGGCCGCCCTCGAACTTGCGGCGGACGATATCCCGGATTTTCGTGAGCTGGCGCATCAGCGGGTCCTGCGTGTGCAGGCGGCCCGCGGTGTCGATCACGAGGTAGTCCACGTTGCGCGCGATCGCCGCGTCGCAGGCGTCGAACGCCACGGCCGCGGGGTCGCCCCCCTGCTGCCCCTTGATCACCTCGACGCCCAGCCGCTCGGACCAGATCTCGAGCTGTCGCACGGCGCCGGCGCGGAACGTGTCGCACGCCGCGAGCAGGACCGTGCTCCCGCCGTCGCGGAGCAGGCGTGTGAGCTTGGCGATGGAGGTGGTCTTGCCCGCGCCGTTGATGCCGGCGACGAGGATGACGGTCGGGCCGCTCGCCGCGGTGTTCAGGCGTCGGTCCTCGTCGGGCCACATCGCCGCGATCTCGCGCTTGAGGTACGCGAGGACCTCCTCGCCGGTCTTGATCTCCCCCGCTTTCCACGCGGCTCGTATGCCCTCGAGCAGGCGCATCGTCGGCTTTACGCCGACGTCGGACTGGATGAGCGTCTTCTCGAGCTCGGCGAGCAGCGCCTCGTCGACTTTCCGGCCGAGCAGGACGGAGCGGAGCGAGCCGACGAAACTCTCGCGCGTGCGCGAGAGCCCTTTGCGGACTTTCGAGACCACGTTCTTCAAGAAGGCCATGGGCTTACGCGTCCCCCTCGGTCGGCGAGGCTTCGGGCTGCATCGGCGCGACGACCTCGCCCCTGGTGCGCTTGAGCAGCTTGTCGAGGACGCCGTTGACGAACGCGGGCGAGCGCTCCGTGGAATATTTCTTCGCGAGCTCGACGGCCTCGTTGATGATGGTTTTGGGGTTCGCGCTGCCGCTCGTCATCTCGTGGTGCGCGAGACGAAAAATGGCGCGGTCGACCGCCGGCTGGCGGTGCGCGGGCCACGTCGGGGCGAGCTCGGTGACGAGCGCGTCGGCGGTCTCGCGCGCGTCGAACGCGGCGCACGCGGTCTCCCAGGCTCGGCGCACCTCGCGCTCGTCCAGCCCGTCGGTGGCCTCGGGGCTGACGGAGTCACGCAGCGCCTCGCGGTCCTCCCCGCTCGTGGCGTCGAGCTGGTAGAGCCACTGGAAGGCGAGACGACGGATCTCACGCGGTTTGACGATCGTGCTCACGCCTCGCTCCCCGCCGTCTTCGGCGCTCCGGCGCGGACCGCGTTGATGGCCGCGATCGTCGTGAGCACCGCCTCCACCGCCTCGGCGCCCTTGTTCCCCAGCGCCCCGCCGGCGCGGGCCTCCGCCTGGTCGGGGCTGTTCACGGTGAGCAGCCCGAAGCTGACCGGCACGCCCGTGCGGGCCGACAGCTCGGTGATGCCCTGCGCGACGCTCATGTTGATGTACTCGTCGTGCTTCGTCTCGCCACGGATGACGCACCCAAGGCAGACGACGCCGTCGTACCGCCCCGAATCGCACGCCGCGGCGGCGACGGGGACGAGCTCGAACGCGCCCGGCGCCCGGACGATGACGGCCGAGCCGCCCGGGGCGAGGCGGGAGACCGCCTCGGTCGCGCCGTCGGCGAGCTTGTCGGTGATCCACGCGTTGTAGCGGCTCACGACGATCGCCAGGCGCGGGGATTCCGCGGGCGTGAGCGGGATTTCGGTGACCTGATCGTTCATCCGTACAATCATACGCGAACCGCGCGGGCGGACCGATCGGTCGCGACGCCTTTTCGCGGGACCTCGGGGACCCGATGGACGGCCTGTTTCACAAGCTCTCTCCGCTCTTTCATCTGACGAGGGTCACGATGGGCTTCGCGGCGGTGGCGAACGTCTGGTTCGTCATCCTCTGGTCCCGCGCCACGCCCGAGGAACTCAGGCGGGCCGACCCGCAGATCTACGAGGACCAGTCGCTCCCGGTGCTCCTCACGGGCGGCGCGGCGCTGGCGCTCGGGCTCTTCACCTTCGCGATGGCCCTCAACGACACGCTCGACGTCCGTCGCGACCGCTCGCTCCACCCCGAGCGGCCCATCCCCTCCGGGCTCATCTCGCAGGAATCCGCCGTGGGCGTCGTCGCCGTCACGCTCATGCTCGCGATCGTCGGCGCCGGGCTCCTGGGCGTGCCCGCGGTGATGCTCACGATCCTGACGGCCGCGGCCATCCTGTTCTACTACCTCATGGCGCGGTACGTGCCGTCCGTCGGCTTCGTCGCGCTCTCGCTCATCTACGGCTCGCACATGGTGGCGCCGAACGTGCGGATCGTCTTCGTGTGGCCGATCTGGCTCGTGATGACGCACGCGATCGTGCTCTACGCCGTCACGCACACGCTGAGCCGGCGTCGCCCGCGTCTCACGCCGACCATGGTGCTCAGCGCCGCGACGGGCTACGCGTTCTGGTCGTACATCCTCTTCGCGGTCGGCCACCGGCGCGCGGGAACGATCTGGCCCGAGTGGGTCCCCGCCTCCGCGGCGGTCGTCCCGGCGGTCTTCGCGGCGGTGTTCATCTCCTTCGCGATCTACAAGGCGAAGACGACGACCAACCGCGAGCGCACCGCGGAGAAGCTCCAGCGTTACGGCGCGTTCTGGCTCACGCTCTACGCGATCGGGTGGATGGCCGGCGCGGGGCTCCGCGACGAGGCGATGATCCTCGGGGCGCTCGCCGTGGCGGGGCTCGTGGGGATGACGGTGCTGCGGGAGATCTACGGGCTCATCGAGCACCCGGTGGGGTTCCGCCGCTAGCCCGGGCTCGTCAGACCATGCCCATCGTGTAGAAGATCGCCGTGAAGAACAGGTCGGCGAAGACGACGGCGACGACGGACTGGACGACCGTGTCCGTCGTGGCGCGACCCACACCGGCGGCGCCGCCCGTGACCTTCAGGCCGTTCCCGCAGGCGATGAGCCCGATGAGCATCCCGAAGACGGAGGCCTTCATGAGGCCGGTGAGGAAATCGACCGGGTTCACCTGAGCGGTGAGGTTGTCGTAGTACGTCGTCCAGCTGATATCCAGCGCGAGCTTGGAGATCAGCGCGCCGGCGCTGACCGCAACGACGTCCGAGAGGACGGCGAGGCAGATCATGCTGACGGTGGCGGCGAGGATGCGGGGGACGACGAGGAACCGAACAGGGTTGAGCGCGTGCGCTTCGAGGGCCTCGATCTCTTCGCCGACGACCATCGTGCCGATCTCCGCGGCGATCGCGGCGCCGGCGAAGCCCGTGAGCACGATCGCGGCGATCAGCGGGCCGAGCTCTCGGAAGACCGCGACGCCCACAATGTTGGGCACCAGCTCGACCGAGCCGAAGCTGTCGAGCGGCGGGGCCATCTGCAGCGCGAGGATGAAGCCGATCGAGCCGGAGACGAGCGAGACGATGAAGATCGAGTTCACGCCGATGCGGCACATCTGCGCGACGATCGCGGTGCGCCCGAGGCGGATGCGGCTCGTGAACAGGGCTCGGAAGACCCAGTGCGCCGCGTCGACGAGGAGGTACCACATCAGGCCGACGTGGCTCAGCCGCCCCATCGAGCTGTCGCCGACTCGTTCGACGTAAGCGAGAACCGGGTTGCGTCGCGTCTCGGACACGGGTCGCTCCTGGGCGGATCAGGTGGCCTGGTCGAGGTCGTCGACGATCGTGAAGACCTTGTCCAGTCGCGCGATCTCGAAGATCGAGCGGACGCGCGGCTGGAGTCGGCAGAGCACCAGCGCGACGCTCTGCTTGCGCGCGATCTGCATGCCCTCCACGAGGGTGGCGACGCCCGAGGAGTCCATGTACGGGACGCCGTCGAGATCGACGATGACCCGGGACGGCTTCTTCGCGAAGACGTCCCGCAGGTGCGTCTGCAGGTCTCGGGAGCAGCTCAGATCGACGTCGCCCTTCGGCGCGACGACCGTGCTGCCGTCCTGTTGCTCGACATGGACCTCCATGGTCACTCCTTGTGGTTCTCCGTCGTGTCTTCGGCCTGATCGGTGACGAGCTTCACGAGGGTGAGTTTCATTCCTGTGCCTTCACGTTTTTCGAACTCGGCGTAGTCCATCACCTGCTTGATGATGTACACGCCCAGCCCCCCCGGGCGGACGTCCTCGAGGTCGCGCCCGCGGATGGCCTCGGTGTCCACCTGGCGGGCCTCGTCCTCGATCACGATCTGGATCCCCCGCGCCGCGCCGTCGATCTCGTAGGGCCAGATATTGAGCCAGATCGGCTTATCCGCGGCCCGGTCGTACCCGTGGCGGATGACATTGCACAGCGCCTCGTCGACGGCCAGGGCGATCTGCCCGCACTCGCCGTCGTTGAACCCCAGCCGGCGGGCGATGGCCGAGACCATGTCCCGAGCCCCGCTCAGGTACCGGGGCTGGCTCATCATCTCGAGCCGCACGTGCGGCTCTCGGTCGGTGAGCGGCTTGGGTTCGGGCGTCGCCTGTGTCATCGTCTGATCGCGGATCCCTCGGCCTCCCCGATGCGAAACTCCCGGCCCGGGTGGGGCCGGCGTGTGACCTCGAACACCTCTTCGCGTCGCGGGGCCATCCTAGTCCAACTCCCCGACAGGCGTCCCGCCCGAGCGGGCCCGCCACCACTCCACCCATCGATCGATCGCCTCTTCACGCTCGAGAATCGGGGCCGTGGCGTCGTAGCCCATCGTCTCGCCCGTGATCCGTTCCAGGGCCTCGGCCGCGATGAGCCGGAGGGCGGGGTCGCGGCTGTCGAGCAGGGAGATCAGGCCGGGGATCGCGCGCTCGTCGCCCCGCTCGGCGGCGTCGAGCGCGGCGAGGGAGCGTGCCTTGGGGTCTTTCGAGTCGAAACTCGTCTCGTTCGGCGGCAGCGAGCAGCCCGCGCAGGCGAGCGTGGCAAGAATGAGGAAACGTGCACGAGTCATGGCTTGGCGCGATGATACGTCTTTCCCGCCCGCAACGCCCATCCAGAACCCGGGGATCCCACCCAACGATGACCACCGCGACCCAGACCCAGCTCGATCCCAAGACACTCCCGCACGACGAGGTCATCCCTATTCTCGACTTCGGGTCGCAAACGGTGCAGCTCATCGCGAGGCGTGTGCGCGAAGCCGGCGCGTTCTCGATGCTCGTCGCCCCCACCATCACCGCGGACGAGCTCAGGGCGATGAACCCCAAAGGGATCATCCTCTCGGGCGGGCCGGCGTCAGTCTACGCAGACGGCGCCCCGACCATGGACCCGCAGATCCTCCGCCTGGGCGTCCCCGTCCTCGGCATCTGCTACGGCATGCAGCTCGCCTGCAAGCATCTGGGGTGCACGATCAACCCCGCCGACCACCGCGAGTTCGGGCGCGCCAACCTCGAGATCGCCGACGCGGGCGACCTGTTCAAGGCGATCCCCCAGAAGAGCTCCGTCTGGATGAGCCACGGCGACCAGGTCGGCAACCTCGACCAGTCGTTCCACACGCTCGCGGGCACCCCCACGTGTGCGCACGCCGCGGTGCGTCACGTGAACCTGCCGTTCTACGGCGTGCAGTTCCACCCCGAAGTGACGCACACGCCGCACGGCCTCGACATGCTGCAGAACTTCGTCTACGAGATCTGCAAGTGCGGGAACACGTGGCGGATGAGCGACTTCGTGGACACGGAGACCGAACGCCTCCGCGAACAGGTCGGCAAGGAACGCGTGATCTGCGGCCTCTCCGGCGGCGTGGACTCGTCGGTGCTCGCGGCGCTGCTCCACCGGGCGATCGGGGACCGGCTCACGTGCGTGTTCGTGGATAACGGACTCCTGCGCAAAAACGAAAGAGAACTCGTCGAGACGACGTTCCGCGACCATTTCGACGTCGACCTCCGCGTCGCGGACGCGCGGGACGCCTTCCTGGGCGACCTCAAGGGCATCACCGACCCGCAGGAGAAACGCCGGCGGATCGGGCACCGGTTCATCGAGGTGTTCAAGGAGCAGGCGGAAAGCGTGAAGGGCGCGAAATACCTCGCCCAGGGGACGCTCTACCCGGACGTGATCGAGTCCGGCCACGGCCACGCGGGTCAGAGCGCGAACATCAAGCTCCACCACAACGTCGGCGGGCTCCCCGAGGAACTCGGGTTCGACCTCGTCGAGCCGCTCCGCGACCTGTTCAAGGACGAGGTGCGCAAGCTGGGCGAGGTGCTCGGCCTGCCCGAGCAGATGGTCTGGCGTCACCCCTTCCCGGGCCCGGGCCTCGCGGTGCGTGTGCTCGGCGAGATCACGCAGCCAAAGCTCGACCTCCTCCGCGAGTGCGACACGATCCTGCTCGAGGAGATCGTCGCGAACAACCTCTACCGCTCGACGAGCCAGGTCTTCGCGGTGCTCCTGCCGATCCAGTCCGTCGGCGTGATGGGCGACGGGCGGACGTACGAGTCGTGTGTTGCGATCCGTGCGGTAGAGTCGCAAGACTTCATGACGGCCGATTGGGCGCGCATCCCGTACGACGTGCTCGCAACAATTTCGAACCGAATCATCAACGAGGTCCGGGGCGTGAATCGGGTGGTGTACGACATCTCGTCCAAGCCGCCCGCGACGATCGAGTGGGAATGACCCCCCGGAAAGGTGTTGACCGTGAACGGGTCGGCCGACACAACTGACCGACCGGGTTTCGGAGCGCGTCGCCCGTTCCTGTTCGCGTTGCTGCTCGGCCTCGCGCACTCGGTGACGTTCGCGCTGGCGTTCCCGCCGTTCGGCCTGTGGCCGCTCGTGTTCGTGTCGCTCGTGCCGCTCGTGCTCGTCGCGGGCGCGCGTCGGGCGCCGCTCGCGGTGTGGCTCGCGTGCCTGCCGGCGTTCGGGTTCCACCACTTCTGGCTCAAGGACGTGACGCTCGTCGGGACGCCGCTGCTCGTGATGTACATGAGCCTGTGGCCGGCGTTGTACGTGTTGCTCCTGCGATGGATCTGCAACAGGGCAGGATTGATCGCGTTCACGACCGGGGCGGTGCTGCTCTGGCCGGCGATCGAGTTTTTCCGGGGCGAGCTGTTTTTACAGGGGTACCCGTGGTTTGAACTCGGACAGCCCTCTCTGTACCCCAAAGCATTGAGCACGTATTGGAACAGTGCTGTTTTTGCGATGCTCAATGTCAATCTGGTTCTTCTGATTGCACTCGTAAAAAAGAAGGGAGCCGCTTTCAGCACCGTCATCAGCGGGCTTCTCTTTTTCACCGTGACGGGCTCTTTCCTTCTCACCGCCTCGTCACATCGAGCCGTCTCATCCGATGGCCCCAAACTCCGCGTCGCCATCCTCCAGACCAACGTTCCCCAGTCCAACAAACAGTTCGGCACCCTCGCGCAGCGCGTCAGGGATTTCGAGCACTTCCTCGACCTCTCGTTTGACGCCTCGCAACTCGACCCACCGCCGGACCTGATCGTCTGGCCCGAGACGATGGTGCCGGTCGCGTGGGGGCTCAACGATTCTTCCTACATCGCGGAACGCGAGAACGGGATCTCGCTGCCCATCGACACGCCCGACGGGCCCCGCCGGTTCCCGACGACGCGCTTCCGCGACGAGCTGACCCGCGTGCAGCGCATCGCGGGCGTGCCGATGCTCGTCGGCGCGACCGCGGTGGACGGGCTCGCGTTCAGCGAAGCGCCGGACGGATCGATCAGCATCGACCTCGATGCGCGCTACAACTCCGCGTTCCTCATCCGCGACGGCGTCGTCGAAGAAACGCGCTACGACAAGATCACGCTAACCCCCTTCGGCGAGGTGATGCCGTACATCTCCGCGTGGCCCTGGCTCGAGAGGCAGCTCCTCGCGATCGGGGCGCGGGGGATGAGCTTCGACCTGAATTCCGGCTCTGAGCGCACGGTCTTCGAGGTCGCGAACGCCGAGGGCGAGGTCTTCCGGATCGTCACGCCCATCTGCTTCGAGATCACCTACGCCGGGGCGTGCCGGGACCTGGTCTTCGAGGGCGCGGGGGGGGGCGAGCGCCGGGCGGACGTGATGCTCAACCTGACCAACGACGGGTGGTTCGGGGAATGGGACCCGGGGCGGGAATCGCACCTGGACGCGGCCCGGTGGCGGGCGGCGGAGCTGGCGACGCCGGTCGTCCGGGCGGCGAACACGGGGTATTCCGGCCTGATCGACGCCTCCGGGCGGGTCGTCGAACGTCTCGGTGCGAACGAGGAGGGGATGCTCGTCGTAGAGGTCGCGAAGGGCCGCGGAACGACCGCGTTCGCCCGGATCGGCTTCCTCATCCCATGGCTCGCGACGGGCGGGAGCGTGGCTTTGCTCCTCTTTGCGGGGATCCGGGGGCGGAAGGCCGCCGAGAACACTCAAGAGAGAGACGGGTCCGACGCCGATGACACCTGAACAGCCCCTTCCCGACTTTTCACCGCTCTGGAGACGATTCATGACCCGCTCGCGCCTGTCGACCTCCCTCTGCCTGCTCGTGTCCCTCGCTGTCATGGATGGGTGCGGCTCGACGCAGAACGCCCAGGCCAAGCCCGTCACCGAGACGGGCCAGCCGGTCCCGTCGGCGATCGAGATGTCGTCCCTCCGAGAGAAGGCGCTCGAGAAGCTCAACGACGCGGCCTTCTCGACCTCCGCGCTGATGCGCGCCAACGCGATCGAGGGGCTCCACGCCGTGCCCACGCGCGCGGAGCAGGTTGTCCGGATGGGGCTGCAGGACGAGAACGTCGGCGTGCGGTACACCGCGGCGACGACGGTCGGGCTGCTCAAGCTGACGAACTCACGCGAGCTCGTGCGCCCGCTGCTGGACGACCAGGACCAGCGCGTCCGGGCGGCGGCGATCTTCGCGCTGAACCAGACGGGGGCGAACGTGAACCTCAACCCGCTCGCGTCGATCCTCGAGTCGCGCGACGCGCGCATGCGGGCGAACGTCGTGTGGCTGCTCGGCGAGATGGGCAACCGGAGCGCGATCCCGATGCTCAAGGACGCGGCGACCAAGCCGACCTGGGGCACCCCCAACGAGGAGCGGATGTTCCGCCTGCAGGTCTCCGAGGCGCTCGTGAAGCTCGGGGAGATGGACGCGATCAGCACCGTCCGCGCGGCGCTGTACCCCTCGTCCGAGAGCGAGTTCGAGCTGGCGGTCCTCGCGGCCCAGATCATCGGGGAGGTGGAGGACCGCGGCGCGAGCGCCCAGCTTGTCAACCTCATCCAGGCCCAGGTCGCCGGCACCTCGGCGCGCAACCCGGAGTACATCTACCCCGCGGAGCTCCGCCTCGCGGCCGCGGCGGCGCTGGCGAAGATGGGCTTCGACGACGGCACCTACGTGGCCGATCTGTACGCCGAGCACGAGCAGGATTCGATCCGCGCCCAGGCGGCGCTGCTCTACGCGGAGATCCGCCACACGGACAACCTGCCCAAGCTCGAGGCGCTCATGGAGGACCCGTCCCCGATCGTGCAGATCCACGCGGCGGCGGCGATCCTGATGATCTTCGAGGCCTGAACAGGGTGGGCGGAAGAGCAGCAACGGAGAGGCGCCCCCGGGCGCCTTTTTTCGTGGGCGGATCGCCCAGCGGGGGCTGGTGTGATCCCGACCGGGACCCGGACTCGCAATCTCGCGCGAACTCGTCATAATGGGCGACTCGATCCCGTTGGAACCGGGCAACCGCCCGGGATTCCAATACACTGGGTCGCGATAGGGTCCCGACAGTCATCCGTGGACCCCGGACGGACGCGTGTCCGGAGGGGTCAGCCAGAGGAGTTGAGCATTGCACGCCCTCACGAAAGTCCTGGTCGTCATCGGCGCGTTCCTGTCCGTCCTCCTCGCCGGTCTGTCGGTCGCGTACACCGCGAACGTCGACCGCGTGAAGCAGGAATACACGCAGCTCAAGAATCAGCGGGTCACCGCTGAGGCGCGGGTCAACGAGATCAATCAGCAGGCGGCCGCCGAACGCGAGAACGCCCAGAAGACCATGACCGAGCTCCGCAACCTGCAGACGCAGCTCACCGCCGAGCTCGCGTCGCTCCAGTCGGAGAACTCCCGCCTACTGGCGCAGATGGCGTCGCTCGAGCAGGCCGCGTCGCTGCACGCGGCGCAGATCGACCAGTTCCTCGCGACGGCCGAGACGTACGCGGAGCTGAACAACAAGCAGTCCACGGAGCTCGCGCAGCTCCGCCAGAAGGAGCTCGACAGCGCCCGACGCGAGATCGCGCTGTCGGACCGCATCAACGAGCTCGAGGGTCGCCTCGAGGTCTCGATCGAGACCAGCCGCTCGCTCCAGGAGCGCATCGTCGAGCTCCGCGAGGACCTCGACTTCGCCCGCCAGGGCGGGACCCAGGTCGCGGCGACCGAGGGCGGCACGCTCAAGGCGCCCGTCGGCTTCCAGGCCGTGGTGACCGGCGTCCGGCAGGACCCGGCGGGCTCGACGCTCGTGGAGATCGACGCCGGCGCGTCCGACAGCCTCCGCGAGAACATGAAGCTCAACGTGGTGAACGACGGCGGCTACATCGCCAGCGCGGTGGTGCAGCTGGTGGACGACAACTCGTCCGTCCTCCGCATCACCCTCATCAAGCCGGGACGCGAGGGCGACCTCCGCGCCGGCAACCTCGTCCGCCCGACCCTCTGAACCCCGAGCCAGGAGACTCCCGATGAACCAGCTCGGAATGCAGATGCCGGGTTCCCAGCGACGCCGCAGCGCCTCGCTCAACATCTACACGGGCCTGATGACGGTCGCCGTGCTCTGCCTGCTCGCGGCGGTCATCATGGTCGCCTACCAGGCGAACAAGATCGGCCCGGCCGACCAGGGCGACTACGTCCGCGCCCTGAACACCCACGGCGACGGACAGGTCAAGCTCCCCGACTGAGCCCCGCCGGCACGCCCGGCCGCCCCAGACGACCCCCGACCCCCCGCGAGAAAAGCCCGGAAAGGCTGTTCGGCGCGGGACGGGACGTCCGATATTGAGTACGATCTACAACGACTCGCGGTGATGGTCGCCGCGGGCACGATACCTTGTGCCCACCCTCGGGCTGGACGCCCAGTGCAGGAGCAGCTCCCGCGTGTTCCTCGATAAGATCCTTTCCTGGTTCAGCGTCGATATGGGGATCGACCTCGGGACGTGCAACACCCTCGTGTGCGTGCGCGGCGAGGGGATGGTGCTCAACGAGCCCTCCGTGGTCGCCGTCCTGAAGGGCACCACCATGGTCCTCAACAACGGCCAGGCCGTGGGTTGGGCGGCCAAGGAGATGCTGGGCAAGACGCCGGGCTCCATCACCGCCATCCGCCCGCTCAAGGACGGCGTGATCTCGGACTTCGAGATCACGGAGGCGATGCTCAATTACTTCATCCGCAAGGTGAACGGTCGCACGCGGGCGATCGGCCCGCGCGTCGTCATCGCGGTGCCCTCGGGCATCACGGCGGTGGAAAAGCAGGCGGTCGAGCAGTCGGCGCTCCGCGCCGGCGCGCGGCTTGTCTATCTGGTTGAAGAGCCGATCGCCGCGGCGATCGGCGCCGGGCTCCCGTTCGCGGAAGCCACGGCCTCGATGATTGTCGACATCGGCGGCGGCACGACGGAGGTCGCCATCATGTCGCTCGCGGACATCGCGACGTGTGAATCCGTGCGCGTCGCGGGCGACGACATGGACGAGGCGATCATCAACCACATGAAGAAGCACTACAACCTCATGATCGGCGAGCAGACGGCTGAGCGGATCAAGATCGAGATCGGCTCGGCGGCGCCCGTCGGCGAGGAACGCTCGATGGACGCGCGCGGGCGCGACATGGTCTCTGGCCTGCCCCGCAAGACGGTCGTGACGAGCGAGGAGATCCGCGAGGCGCTGCAGGAGCCGGTGAACGTGATCGTCGAGACGGTCATCCGCACGCTCGAGCGTGCCGAGCCGGAGCTGTCCGCGGACCTGGTGGACAACGGCATCACCCTCGCCGGCGGCGGCGCGCTGCTCCGCGGGATCGACGTCGTCCTGCAGAACGCGACCGGCATGGAAGTGCGCATCGCCGAGGACCCGCTCACGTGCGTCGCCGCGGGCACCGCGATCTTCCTCGAGAACATCGAGGAGTGGAAACACACGCTCGAGAGCAACATGGACCACTGACGGCGGCGATCTGGGGAGCGGGCCGGGGACCGGGGGCCGGGGTGTTCCGGCCCGCCGTCATCATCCCGGGGGGATGAACCGGAGCAACGGACGGCCGACGCGACCATGTCACGATCCCACGCCAACCAGTCGCCCGCCACGCTCCCGATCGCGGTCGTCCTGCTCGTCATCACCACGCTGGCGCCGACCGGGCTCACCTCCTGGATCACGGCGTTCCGGGGGCCTTTTATGGCGTTCCTGGCCCCGATCTCGCACCCCGGGACCTGGCTCAGCCGGCGTCTGAGGCCGCCCGTGGAACTGGAAACGCCGGTCGAGCAGGCGACGCGTGAGCAGCTCGAGGCCCAGCTCTACGAGGTGCTCCAGATGCACGCCCGGGCGACGCGCGAGAACCTCGACCTCCGCGCGATGATCGCCCAGCTCCAGTCCGGTGTGCCCTTCGAGGACCGCGGCTCGTTCCGCCAGGTGCTCGCCTCTCGCACGGGGTACAACGCGCGGGCCGGGCTCGTCGAGCTCCGCCCGGGCGCGCTCAAGGGCGTCGAGACCGGCGCGGTGGCGCTGGACGGCTCGACGATGCAGCTCATCGGCGCCGTGACGACCGTCGGGCCGACGACGTGCTCGGTCCGGCCCATCACGGACGTGAACATCTCGCCCTCGCCCATCGAGGCCCTGATCCTTCCCGACGAGCCGGTGACGCCCGAGATGCTCGCGACGGCGCAGCCGTGCTCGCTGGCGCCCACGGGCGCGGGGACGCTCACCGCGAGCATCGGCGTGGACCCCTACGCCGACCTCCCGGTGCGCGCGGGGATGCTCGTGCGGCTCAACGACCGCGCCTGGCCGGCGAACGCACGCATGCTGCTCGTCGGCGAGGTCACCCGGGTGGTGCGGACGGACAACCCGCGGTTCGTGGACGTGATCGTGACCCCGGTGCGCGAGCCGACGAGGTTGCGCGACGTCGTGATCCGCATCGAGGACCGGGGCGAGACGGACGGGGGCGCGCCGTGAACTGGTTCGTCTTCGCGATCTTCACCTGGCTCGCCGTCGGCCTGGACGAGGGCCTCGCGGACGTCTTCCAGCCCTTCGGCTGGGCGATCACGCCCTCGTTCGCGCACGTGCTGCTCGTGTTCGTCTGCGTGTGGGCGCCGTCGCGCGTCGCGTACGCCGCGGCGCTGATCATCGGGGCGGCGCAGGACTTCGTCGCGGCGGTGCCGGCGGGCGCCCAGGCGACGCAGGACGTGGTGGTGCTCGGCCCGCACGCGCTGGGCGCGTTGCTCGGCGCGGCGCTGATCGTGAACCTGCGTTCGGTGATGATCAAAAAGAGTCTCGTGTCGATGTTCGTGCTGACGTTCTTCGGGGTGACGCTGCTGGAAATCGTGGTGACGGCGTCGCTGTCGATCCGATCGATCTATCCCAACGGGATCTCGTATCCCTCGCCGTCCCGGGCGCTGATCGTGGGGCTCGGTTCGGCGGTGTATTCCTCGCTCCTGGCGGCGGTCCTGAGCACGCCGCTGAACGCCCTGTCCGGCCTGTTCCATTTCCGATCGCCGGGTCCCTCATTCCCGTCCAACGCTCGTCGGCGGTGAGCGGGAGAGAAAACTTCGCGGAAAGACGTCCGATTTCGTTTACCACACCGTTCACGGGCCGGTTCGGCCGACTTAGAATGATGTCCATCGGGCCGTCAGGGAGGGCCCGTCACCACCGATTTTCCCCTACTGATCGCGGCTTCGAGATATGAGCACACCCCCCAAAGCCCTCGTCCCGTCCGTGAACGGCTGGAACGCCGAGTACCTCGACCAGCAGTACGAGCGGTTCCGCGCCGACCCGGACGCCGTGCCGGCGGATCTGCGGCTGTTCTTCCAGGGCTTCGACCTGGCCGAGGCGCGGGTCATCGGTCCGAAGCCGTCGGCGAACGGCCTCTCGAGTTCGGCCCGAGCGACGGAAGACCACCTGCAGGCGGGCGTGAGCTCGCTGATCCACCAGTACCGCTCGATCGGGCACCTCTGCGCCTCGATCGACCCGTTCGGGCGCGAGCGGGAGATGCCCGGCTCGCTGCTGCCGGAGAGCCACGGCCTGAGCCCGGCGCACCTGGACACGACATTCGACGCGGACACGCTCTCGCCGGACGGCGGTGTGATGCCGCTGACCGAGATCATCGAGATCCTGGACCAGACGTACTGCGGCTCGATCGGCGCTGAGTTCATGCACGTCGAGGACGACGAGGAGCGCACCTGGCTCGCGGGGCAGATGGAGCGAACTCGGAACCGGACGAGCTACGGCGCCGGGCAGCGGGCGCACATCCTCTACCAGCTGCACCGCGCCGAGCTGTTCGAGAAGTTCTGCGGGAAGCGCTACCCGGGCGTGAAGCGGTTCAGCCTCGAGGGCGGCGAGTCGCTCATCCCGATGCTCGACCAGCTCGTCGAGCGTGCGGGCGACGAGTACGACATCAAGGAACTCGTCTTCGCGATGAGCCACCGCGGGCGGCTCAACGTGCTCACGAACACGATCGGCAAGACCTACGAGCAGATCTTCACCGAGTTCGACGACTCGTGGCAGGAGGACGCCGAGGTCCAGGGCGGGGACGTGAAGTACCACCGCGGGTTCAGCGCGAGCCGCGTGCTGCCGTCGGGCAAGACGATCTGGCTGGCGATGGCGAGCAACCCGTCGCACCTCGAGGCCGCGTGCAGCGTGGCCCTCGGCCGGACTCGCGCGAAGCAGCGTCTGCGCGGGGACATCGAGCGGTCGCAGGTCGTGCCGGTGCTGCTGCACGGCGACGCGGCGGTGATCGGCCAGGGCGTGGTGGCTGAGGGGTACAACTTCTCGCGCCTCCCCGGCTACACGGTGGGCGGGGCGCTGCACATCGTGGTGAACAACCTCATCGGGTTCACGACGGGCGAGGAGGACGCGCGGTCGAGCCGGTACTGCACCGACATGGCGAAGATGATCAGCGCGCCGATCTTCCACGTGAACGGCGAGGACCCCGAGGCGTGCGTCCACGTGATGCGCCTGGCGCTCGACTACCGGATGCGCTACAAGAAGGACGTGATCATCGACCTGCAGTGCTACCGCCGGCACGGCCACAACGA